TAATTATAATTATAAATATTGATTTTAATATAAATTTAACTTAATATATTAATATAAATATTAGTTATAAATTATAAATATGATTATATTTAACATGAATCACAAAATTTCAATTTACACTATAGAATATACCAAAATATAAAATTTTTAAAAATACTAAATGTTAAATATATATTTATTATATAAAGAATCTCTCTCTCTCTCTCTCTCTCTCTCTCTCCATATTCGAAAATCTTGGCAAAGGAAGGAAGAGACTGCGTTTACCTACACGGCTTCTAAGGAAGCTTTGGATGTCGAAGGAAGGAACGGTGGTTCGTTGGCTTCTATCGCGCGGAAGAAGCCACGCACGGTGTCTCGGATTCATTAAAGGAATTATTAAGGCGTGCTCTCCATTACTGCAGTACCCGCTCCTACTAATTATCATCGAGCAATTAACAACCGTTGATTGCCATTAACGGTGCAAACGCGTGTTAGATTCGAACGTGTTCTCTCACCTCCCCCATATATGTATGCATGGAATAATTTCCTCTCGCAGCACGCGAGCTTGCTTGCTGCTGCTGCTCCTTCGAGCAAAACCGAGAGGGAAATAAGGGGAGGGGGAAATCTTGAGAAACTTTCGAACATTTTCCATATCACTCTATCTCGCAATTTGCACAGCTCGTGAATATTCAAAATTTTATAACGTTAGGTTTTCGCGAAATTTCCTAGCCACGAGAGGCTGAGAAATTTCCAGGAAATTTGTCAAACAGTGACAAACGAAACGACAGAGTTTCGAGAAATTTAGAAAATTTACAGAAATTTTCACAGTGGAAGTTTCGTTTCAAATATTTATTTATTTCGTGCGAGTCTTGTATTTATACATTCGCAAAGTTCCACGCGCTCGCTGAGAAACGCTGGATCTTCATCGCGCAAGTTTCAAACTAAGTTGAATGTCTATCTCTAACATATTGTCGATCGTTGCAAGTAACATCGCGTTTGACGAAATAATTTCCAACCTACGAAACTGAGGCACCACTGGCTGCTGGAAATTTGCGAGGAAACTCTCAGTCAGTTAAAAACCATAACGCGGGTCTGAGTCCATATTACAGCAAATCGTCTTTAATTTCCTTCGTCTATAATTGTCGTACATACATCTGATTATCGATCGTGCGTGTCTGCAATTCATTTATAAATATTTTGAATTACATGCCACTTTGAAAAAGAAAGGCGATTTCTTTACCGTTATTATTCTATGAAAAGGAACATTGCCATAAACGTTTCCCTCTTCAGACACGAGAGTCGTCCTCTCCAATTTGTTTTCCTTTTCCTTCTCTTCTCTTTTTTTTTTTTTTTTTTTTTTTTTAAGACTTTCGGACAACGTCGTTTTTCTTCTATCGACGATCGATGAGATATCGGTTCCCCCTATTTCTCCGCTTGTTTCTTTTCTTCCCAAAAGAAAAAAAAAAAAAAAAAAAAAATTGTACTTCTTTCGGGACGGTGTCGCGCGGATCTTGAAACGAGACTCCCGAGGGCAGGACTTGCGGATCGCAGGATCTTTTCGGTAACCGCGTGGCAACAATAGTATAGAAAACGTCGAACAAGCCCATCGCCCGGCATTCCGGGATTTCCTGTTTGGCAAACCTGCTTTGCCGGGTCATCGGGGCGCTGAAATTTACGAATTGAACCTTACCATCACGTACCATCGGCAAAACAGAAACGTTAAAGAGATGAAAAATCAATGGAAATTCGAATTTCGTCTCTTTAAAGGCAGAAAACAGACGCGTTACCCGATCCGGAAGTCGTGACGGAACCATCTGAACCACGGACACCGTCCCCGATCGTGGAATGTGACTGAAATCAAAATTCACTCGCGAAATCCAATCAATACGCTCGAACGAGCCAAATTTCGAATCGCGTTTTTTTTTTTTTCTTTTTTTTTCTGTATTAAAAATAGGGAGCTTTTGGACAAGAGAAAGAAAAAAAAAGGGGGGGGAAGAGAGGAAGGCTTATGGGGGGGAAGATTTGCTATCGGAAAATGCGGGGAAATTAATTTTTATAAATTGAATTAAAAAGCTGGAATCGTTAGGATCGTTAGAATCGTTAAATTGAACTTCAAGACGATGTTTAAGGTGTCTGGTAATTTTCTAAAGACGTTCGATCATCGGCTTTTCCTTCGGCCAACGTTCAAAAAAATCATTTTTCGTATCCGCGTGCGACTCCGACGATGTGTAGCACATCGTGAAACATTACTCGCGACATGTATAAATACAGGTAAATAAAAGTGAATAAATAAATGAATATATAAATATATAGATAGAAGAAAAAAAAATAAATATATATATATAAAAGTATATATATGTAAATGAGAAACCGGCGTCGTCGTCAACGGCGTGTAGACGACGGAACGGGTTATTCCATGTTTTCGAGATCGAAGTCTGCGAGAAACAGATAGTAATTAAGAAATTCATTAAAAGAAAAAAGAGAAATCGTCAAAATTTATTCTCAGTCAGGTTTCAATTTCTTTTTCGGCCCAAGTTTTTGGCAAAAGAATTCTTCGTTCGGCCCAACTTTATCTCAAAAATTGAAAAAAGGCTTTGTTTCATCTATTTCTTTAATGTATCGTGTATTTCGAGAAATATCTCGCCCACTTCGACCGCGGAAACGCGAACAAATGACGATTATGTGTTGTTATCGCACGGTTGATGATAATTATTTATTTATATGGATGATGATGCTGCTGAACAAACGATGATGAATATGATGAACGATGCTGCTGATATGATGATAATAATGATGATTGACACACTACGACGCTACTTGTCCGATACGATCAATTAACGCCGGTGGTGATAATAATGCTGATAGTGATGATCACGATAATAATGTAGAAACGTACGATGACGATGTAACGAACAAAGATTCGATGATGTTCCTGTTAATAAATAATAATGATAATTAAATAAACGAAACAACTCTACCACAACACTAAGTCAGGTCACGTATTTCTTCTTTTTTTTTTCTTTTTTTTCTTTTTTTTTTTTCTTTTTCTTTTTNTTTTTTTAGAAACCTGCGTTAGATTTGCCTCTTGAAACACACAAGACTCCTATTTTTCTCTTTTTCAGAAATCTGCGTTAGATTTCCTCGCTGAAATGTACACAGTGGGAACGAAAGAGAGGAGAATTCTCGGCGAGAGGCGCGCACGACTGCACACCTCTGCACGACCTGTGCACGCGGCGTCGTTTAATTACGTGACGTTAATCTCGCGATGCGCGTAACGAGCGGCGCGATTTCGCGAAAAATTGCTGGCTCGTCTAG